GAATGAGCATGTGATTTGACCATTTGCCGAAATAAGCAGACATTAGATTAATAGCTCCTGTCCTCCAATGGAATTAAAAAAATGATTTATGAAAAAATTCCAAAATACTGCAATTTTGAAATCTGAGTGTCTTTTCCCCAAATTTTAATGTTTCTTTTAAAAAAATTTTTTTTGCTGGTGTTTAGACCAGACCCCACTATGCTCAGGTTTTTCTCCTGGCTCTGCACTCAGGGGACCATATTGGGTGCTAGGGATCAAACCTGAGTAGTCTGTGTACAAGACAAGTTCCCTACCTTCTATATATCCTGTTTTTCCAGCCCCAGATTGTAGTATTTTACTACATTTGTTTTCCATAACACAGAAAACATACTTATGTGTTTGTTATGTCTAGTTATACAAGTGCTCGTTATATGTATGTGTAGAATGTGTGGATAATCTGATCCTGAGCATACATTTGTGTATATTTGTATACACTCTATATATTGTTTGATGTATCTTTATGAGATAGATTCCTTTTTTTTTTTTTTAAATCAAATCACCTTGAGAAACCGTTACAAAGCTGTTCATGGTTGGGTTTCAGTCATACAATGTTCCAACACTCATCCTTCCACCAGTGTACATTTCCCAGCACCAAAGTCTTAGTTTCCCTCATGCCACCCCACTCTCCTCAGCCTTCCCCTATGTCAGGCACCTTCTTTTTCTCTCTCTCTCCTTTTGGGCATTATGGTTTGCAATACAGGTACTGAAAGGTTATCATGTTGATTCCTTTAACCTACTTTTAGCATGCAGTTCTTATCCAGAACGATCATTTCTAACTGGCATTGCCATAGTGGTCCCTTTTCTTTCCCAACTGCCTTCTCCCCCGGCACTTAAGGCAACCTTCCACCTGTGGACCAATCCTCCTGGCCCCTGTTTCTACTATTCCTGGGTATTAGTCCCATACTTAATTTTTTTTTATATTCCACAAAATAGTACAATCATTTTATGTCTGTTCCTCTCTTTCTGTCTCAGTTCACTTAGCAGGTTACTCTCCATGTCCATCCATCTAAAGCAGCAAATTAACATCTTGGGCAGGGGTGTACTGTGGGTGAGTCCAAGAGGCAGTGCTCTGAGACTAGCCCTGCCTCTATGTTCAGAACTGATCCCTTGTAGTACTACAATCCCTTGTAGTATTGTGTAGAGCACAATATTGGTAACAGGGATTTGACCCAGTTAGCTGCATGCAAAGCAAGTTCTTATTAAACTTTTACCATTTAATGTTTGGCAGTTGTTGCTTAATTGAGTTCTTATGGTAGTTGCTAAATGGTGATATTCTAATTCCATTATTTCATCTGAGTTTATAAATTGGCAGATTCTTGGCAGACTTTTACTCACAATTTTGATGCTGAAGTTGTCTAGATTTAACCCATGACTTGCTCCTTCAAGAAGGCTTGTGTGACCTTTGGGCATGGCTTCATGTCATTTGAACGCTTTCTTACTTTGTGGCAAGCTGTTCGGTGTTCTTGTACTTTCCCATTGGTCTTAGAATCAACATTTCTCTAAAGAGCCAGCTTCTGTTAAGTACAGAGGGATATTTAAAATACCAAAATGCTGGCATGAGCCTTTTTTTCCTGCTTTTTTGGACCGCACCTGGTGGTACTCAGAGCTGATTCCTAGCTCTGTGCTCAGGCTCACTCCTGTCAGTGCTCAGGAGACTTTATGTGGTGCATATTTATGTCTGACAGCATGTTTTAGTCTAGTATCCCACTTCATCTATAATACTTTTTCCTTTTCTAGTATCTCACTTCATTTATAATACTTTTTCCTTTTCTCTCTTTCTTTCTTTCTTTCTTTCTTTCTTTCTTTCTTTCTTTCTTTCTTTCTTTCTTTCTTTCTTTCTTTTTGTCACTGCAAATCCTGAACCACATTTTCTAACACATAATTTTATTTGCTTGCTGTTTTGTTGGGTGGGGTGATTGTGGAGGGCTGAGCCATGTTCCAGAGGCCCTAGTACCCTCATAGCTGGTCCTACCTGATTGGGAAATTCAGTGCTCAGACTAGGCAAGTTGCGGGTGGGACCACTTGGGAAACTGCTGGCTGCAAGTGGGGTGGCTCTGTGGGCTGCTTGGGCAATTCCATGCTCTGGCTAGGCAAATTGGTGGTCCCTTTGCTGCGTGCATCCCCTGATGACAATACCTGGCTATGGTTGGAGAGGGGTTTGTGCCAAGGATTGAATTTACCCCTGAATCCATTATTCACTTTACTTTTGGAATGCACTGAAGTATTTAAGATTTGCTAATCTATACTGTTGCATAGAACCTAGTAGCTAGAGTATAGCAGTTAATGTTTTTCTTTCATATGTAAACTATAACATGATTCAAAAAGACAAACGGTACGAGAAACTATGTTCAGTGTAGACACACTCATTCCTCCAATGCTGCTTCCTCATTTTTAATCCTCCCAAATTTGCTACCCTTTTCCTCCTTACTGCCCTGTAGATAATCAACCTCATTAGATTCTTTTTTGTTTGTTATTGGGCTATAACACCGTGCAGTGCTTAGGGTTTATTGGTGGCTCTGCTCAGGAATCACTGGTTCTGGGGACCATATATGGTCCATGTGCAAGGCAAGTGCCTTTACGTGCTATGCTTCTTTCCAGCCCCCTCATTAGATTTTTACTTATTTGTCATGGGTTTCTTTTGTGTACTAGATGAAACATGTTACTCTCTCTCTCTCTCTCTCTCTATATATATATATATATGTATATATATATGTGAGTGTGCAAATATGTACTATGTATATGTATATTACATTCTTTTTGCCTTTTGTTTTTGCTATGGTAGACATAAAATTACATTATGTCTTTTCAAAGAATGCTGCTTTATTTTTTCAACTGTTTTTAGAGTCACAAATAGTGCTATTCACAAATTGATCTATTAGTGTTTGTGAATTTTCACATCTATCTGTATCTTCATCTTTTTCTTAAAAAAATTACCTCGAGATGAATAAATAATTTCTTTAATAAGGAGCGATAGCACAGCGGGTAGGGCGTTCGCCTTGCACGCAGCCAACATGGCCGACCCGAGTTCGATTCCTCCGCCCCTCTCGGAGAGCCTGGCAAGCTACCGAGAGTATTCGATATGCCAGACACAGTAACAACAAAGTCTCCAATGGAGACGTTACTGGGCCCGCTCGAGCAAATCGACGATCAACGGGAGGGCCTTTACCTTTACCTTTACCTTATCGTGTCAATATGCCGCTGCTAAAATCTTTCCCGAATAATTTGTTTGAAAATGTCTTTGTTTTGCTTTTACTACGACATTGATGTTTTTACTTCTGTATTGTCCATTATTTTCTTTCATCACCTTTTATCTTCTTCCTTTAATTTGTTTCAACAAAGTCAATTATCGTTCTTTTACTCAATTCTCTATATTCTAGAGCATATTGTTTCCAACAGGGTCATTTTTTTCTCTTTTCCCTGACAGTTTATAAAAACTTATGTATTTTTAAAGAGTTTCCTTAAGCCCTTTAGTTCATATGGCATTTCCTTCCTTTATGGGTCTTCTGTTTCTCTTTTTTTAATTTTTCTTTGAGTTATTTGCATGTTTGTCTTCTTTTTCCTCATAGACTCTATGCACTTTAAGCATAAAAACTATGTTTTAGGAACTGGAAAAGCAGTATAGCAGGTAATACGTACTTTGCATGTGACTGAACTACTTTTGAACCCCATTTTCACAACCTATGTGGTACCCTGAACACTGCCAGGTATTATTCCAGAGCCCTGACCATAATTGGGTCTGACCCATAAACCAAACCAAAGTAGAATTATAAAACTGTGTCTCTTTAATCAGCTTAATACTTGAGGTATAGAACTTAGTATTATTCTCCGGAATTCATAGGTTACTTCTGGCTCTTCACTGAGGAATTACCCCTGGCAGAGCTCAGGGGACCATATGGGATGCTAGGAATCGAACCTGGGTTGGCCGCATGCAAGGCAAATATTCTACCTGCTGTGCTATTGCTCCAACCCATGACCCTTATTTTAAAGAGTTATTTTATACATACATTCAATGTTAGCATTTTTGCCAAATAGCTTTCTAATAAGACAATTTTCAGTAAAAAGTAGATTTCAGTATTTGGTTCATGTACTGTAGCACTGCACTGTCCTTCCATTGTTCATTGATTTGCTTGAGCGGGCCCAGTAATGTCTCTGTTGTGAGACTTGTTACTGTGTTTGGCATATTGAATACGTCATGGGTAGTTTGCCAGGCTTTGTTGTGCAGGCAAGATACTCTCGGTAGCTTGCCCGACTCTCTGAGAGGGGCGCAGGAATCAGACCCCAGGTCGGCCGGGCCGGCTGCGTGCAGGGCAAATGCCCTAACGCTGTGCTATTGCTCAAACCATGAAATTTTACATGTATATTAAAATAAACACTTACAATACCATTTTAGAAGCATAAAATTGATGTTTATGATCTCTTTCAAAAAGATTTTCAAAGTTACAAAATAAGATCTCTTGAACTGGGAGTTTCTGATTTGTGCTCTTTTTTCCTGGTCTATTCTTTATCACGTTCTATTTCTTTACAAAAATATCTTAACATTGATGATTCTTTTTATTTTTGTGAAGGCATTCCTTTAATTAAAAACTGTGCATTGAAAATCCATTTAGTCTTAGGCTTTCTTGTACTTGGAAGTATTTCCTTTTTAAACTTTTAACCTTCATTTTGTTTATATTTGGAAAATTTTATGAGTCATTAAATATTCTCTCCCTATATTGATATATCCAACTTCTGCCCAAACATTGAAACTAAAAATATTATAATCATCATGTTTATCTAAAAAATGTAATTTTGATATCCCTATATATAGATTCTGCTGCAGACAACAGTATTTGGTGATCTACTTAATATCATAATGCACTTAAAATTTTTTCAAAGTAGTAAAGTTTATGGATCTTCATTTTGAATAAATTAGACAATACTATTGACACTACTTACTGATTATTGTTTTCAATGAATTGCAGATAACCATTGACCATTTTGGAATTCAAAGTATGTCATCATGGCAAAGTTTCGAAAAAGAAATTGCATCATTTTGTCATTTTTTATTTTATTTATTTTCTGCTTGATGATGGGTTTAAAAATGCTGAGACCAAATAAAGGTACTTTGGGAGATCCTTTTGGACTTGACCTCCTTCCAGTTTTCAGTAAACGGACATCTCATGTGAAAAAAGTTTTTTATTCCCAAAAGAGTGACAAAATCAACATTGAAACAAATACTGAGAATTTAAAAGGCATTGAAGTTGTGAAAGATTCTAAAGCCTCTGAACCTTACCTGGAAGAACAGTCACCTCTGAATTACTATTTACATGTGTTTTACTATAGCTGGTATGGAAATCCACAATATGATGGTAAATATGTACATTGGAACCACGCAATCCTGACGCATTGGGACTCAAGCATAGGTGATAATTATCCACAGGGGAAACACAGTCCTCCAGAAGACATTGGCTCTAATTTTTACCCTGAATTGGGAAGTTACAGCTCTCGAGATCCTTCTGTTATTGAAACTCACATGAAACAAATATCCTCAGCTTTGATTGGTAATTATTTTATTTGCATGTATTTTATATTTTGAAATATGTTTGTATATTTAGATAGATACATATTAAAATGTGTAGAACAGTAAATTAATCGGTAATTTCAAATTATTTCTAATTTTAAGTTATAAACTTAAGTGCATGTATATTTCTTCATTTAACTTGGAAAAGGAGAGGTATCATTTTTACTGATGTTACATTAGTTTATAATACAGGATTCAGGTGTACATCATTAGGAGTTAGTATAAATTATATTAAACGGACCACTAGTCTGATTTACATCTTTTCTCATACATTTCCTTTTTTGGTTGCTGTTGTTGTTTTTTTTGTGACTAGATGGTCACATCCAGTGATGCTCCTGGTTCTGTACTCAGTAATCACTCCTGGTGCTGCTCAGGGGACCATATGGGATGCTGGGAATCAAACCTGGGTCAGCCGCATGCAAGGCAAACACCCTACCCACTGTGCTATCACTCCAGCCCCAGGTTCCCATACATTTCATTCCTTTAATCCAGTTTACCAAATATTGTTCTCTTTTAAATTGTGATCTGATTTGGTTCATAGTCTAACACTTTATTTTATTTTGTTCATTTTGTTTCTTTATGAACCACTTATTAGTGAAAACATACTCTGTCTTTCATGTGACTTGTTTCACTAAGCATAAAATCTAGGACTGTCTGTGCTGCAGGTGAGAGAACTTTTTATTTTATTTTATTTTATTTTTTAAGCAGAGATGTGTTCATCTGTATGTTTATTTTATGTCATCTTGATCTAATCATCCTATTGATGTATGCTAAATTACTATTTAGGTCTTAGCTATTACTAATGATGGCAGCAGTGAACATGGGGGTTGCTTATATCTTTACAATTTTTTTTTGTATTTTCAGGTAAATTCCCAAATGTAAGATAACTGGATAGTACAGTATTTCTAATTTTAATGTGTTAATTTTGTTGGTTTTGGAGCTACACTTGGAAATACTTAGGGATTACTCCTAGTTGTGCTCTCTTGTGCTCTCAGGAATTACTCCTGTCAGTGCTCAGGGGACCATATGGGTTGCTGCGGATCAAACCTGGACTGGAAGCATGCATGCAAGGCAAGCACCCTACCTGCTGTACTATCTCCCCAGTCCCTCTATTGTTTGAAAAATTTCCATATTCTTTTTTTATAATGCCTGCACCAATTTATATCCCACAAGTAGTCTACAAGGGTTTCCTAATATACTAAACAGGGTTCAGTGAACATGCAGTTCCCTCTGTCTGTTCTCTTCAGCATTTGTGAATTCTTCTTGTCTTTTAGATAATAGTGATTCTTGCAAGCCTGGGATGATGTCTTATCTAATTTTGGCTTAGCCTTTCCAAATAACAAAAGATGATGAGTATCTTTTTCATATTCCTTTGGCCATCTCTCTAAAATGTCTATTTTTGCTAGTTCCTCCATATTTTGATTTGAGTTGCTTATTTTCATGTTAAATTTTGTGAGTTCCTCACATATTTTTCATACTAGCCCTTTGTTAAATATATTTTGCAGATTTTTTTTTACATTCATTAGGGTTTCTCTCTTTTTTAGGGTTTCTCTTCTTTGAGTGATGCTTTCTTTCACAGTGTAGCAGCTTTTTAGTTTAATGTAATCATGATTAATATATTGTTGCTTTGTCATTGGTGTAAAGTCCCATAATATATCATGGAAATACATATCTTAGAGCGTTTTCTTCTATATTTTATGGTTTGGATTGTAACATAAAATTCATTTTGAGTTAACTTCTGCGCATCATGTGAAAGTGTGATCTATTTTCATTCTTTTGTAGGTCTATCCCTATCTCCGTTTTTTGATAAAAAATACTTTTCTGTCTCAATTTTAGGCTCTTGGATCCTTTATCTTAAATTAACTGTCCATGTATTGACGTCTATTTTTTCACTTTCAGTTCTAGCTATTGTTGTCTTTGAGTTCAGTACTTTGCTGTTTTGATTACTATAATTTTGTGATACAGTTTGAGGATGGGGCACATGATGCCTCCATTCTTTTTGTTAAAACTTGGGATCGCTTTAGTTATTTGGGTTCTTTGTAATTATATATAGGTTTCTATACCTATTTCAGTGATATTTTATTCTACTTTTGTTAAAAATAAAACCTTCCCAGAGGGTTTTTTTTTCTCATTTTGTTATTTTCTCTTGGCTTTGGTGGTGGGCACTGAATCTGGCCATAATCTGAGTCTATACATGGTGCACTGCTTGGGGATCTCTCTCTTGCTTAGTGTTGAGAATGAAACCTAGGCCGCTGCATGCAAAGCCCTAGCCTTTTGTAATACCTTTCTGGCCTGTTGCTGAGAATTTGATAAGAGTTTCACTGTATCTAGATAAAGCAATTTATAATGTTAATGTTTTCAATCCATTAGAATCCTTACATTTCCTAATATGTTTTACTATTTATTTTAATGTACAGTTTTAGAAGTATGAGCTTTTGTGATTCTTTGTTTGATTTATTCCTGGATACTTAATTCTTCTATATGTAATTGGAAATGGGATTAGGCTTTTATTCCCTTTTTATTTTTTATTGCAAAACAAATGCAGCAAATGTTTGCATCTTGTTAAAGTCTACCACTTTATTGGTTAATTATTTTAAGCCATATATTTTAGTAGTTTTTCAGTTTTCCTTTGTATAATACATAATCTGAAAATAAAGGTAGTTCTACTTTTTTTTTTTTTTTTTTGCTTTTTGGTTCACACCCAGCGATGCACAGGGGTCACTCCTGACTCTGCACTCAGGAATTACCCCTGGCGGTGCTCAGGGGACCATATGGGATGCTGGGAATCAAATCCGGGCCGGCCGCGTGCAAGGCAAATGCCCTACCCGCTGTGCTATCGCTCCGGCCCCTAGTTCTACTTTTTTACATTTGGATCTCTTTTATATATGTTTCTTGCTTAACTGGGTTTCATATTTTTCACCACTGAGCATTTTGTAAACTGTGGCTATGTGATGCATGTCCTATATATGTTGACGTCTTTTCAATTTCCATTTTAATAGATATTTTAAAAAATTATAAATGGATGTTGAATATTGTCAGAAGTTTTTCTCTCGTTGATATGACCATATGATTTTTATCTTTCCTTTCATTGAGCTAGAGTAATATATATGTAAGTGATAAGTGTATTTTGAACTGGTCTTATATCCTTGGAATGAATCCTACCTGTTCATGGTATATGACCCATTTAATAAATTGTTGGATTATTTGTCCAATATTTTGTTGAGAATTTGCATCTATGTTCATTGTGAAAATGGGTCTGTGGTTTTATGTGATGTCCACATTTGTTTCTGGCATAAGGTAATGATTTCATAGAACATGTCTGGGCGGGGGGGGGGGGGGGCAGAATCTCTTCAGTATTAGGAAGTGCATCAAGATTAAGTACAGCTCCCAGGGAAACCATCCTAGTTCTGGGTTTTTGGGTTTTGGTGTGGTGTGGAGACTTTTGATTACATGTTTCATTTTTTTGTTTGTTTGTTTATAGTTGTTTTGCTGAGGTTTTCTAGTTCTTCCTGATTTAATCTTAGAACAGTGTAGTATTTTAAGAATATGTCTATTTCTTTAGATTCTTGAACCTGGTGGATTGAAGTGGTTCTTCTGATCCTTTTTATTTATATGACATTTGTTGTAACTTCTCTGCTATCATTTCTGATCCTCTTAGGGTTTTTTCTCTACTTTTTTAGTGAGCATAGTTAAGGATTTATCAGTTTAATTAATTTGAAGAATGAGCTTTTGGTGTCAGTCCTTTCTATTGTTTTTGTCCTAATTAAAAAAAGTAGTGGCGGGGGTACACTGGGTAATACTGTTTAGGAGTTTCCCATTCTGTCCCTTGTTGTGTTTGATGCTCGTGGTACATTTCGTAGCAGGTATCCTAGGGAAGTGCTCAACCACTTGAACCACATCCTTCCATCCAGGCCTGCTTTCTTCTACTTACTTTCATTTCATTTGTGCATTTTCCTGATTTGGGCAAAGCTAAGTATTCAGCTTTTGAGAAGAGTGGAGAGACATCTAAATATCTTGGCAAATACATCTGGTACAATTCCTAATTCAAGGTTATTGTTTCTTTATCAGTTTTCATACAATTGATTGGTAGTAAGTATTGATTGGTGATGGGGGTGTTCTGAGTTACTATTTTTATATTTGTTTGGCAGAATCTGACCCTTTTCTTTTTTGTTGTTGTTGTTATTGTTATTGTTATTATTATTTTCTTATTCTGTTATACTCTGGAACCCCCTGTGTTTTTTTTTTTCATTTAACCACTGTAGTCCTTGGCTCTGTTATGTTTGTCTGTACTTCTCTTATACTTTCCCTCATTCTTTCTCTGTCTTTGTTAAAGCTCTCTTCCATCGATCTCTTCATTTCACTGAGTATCAATTTATAGCACTATTGATCTTTCAGGGAATCTAAACTTAAATGTGCCTAGACAATGGCTGGCTGGGATTGTGCAATTGTTATTGCTCATAGCAGTGAGGTTCAGTGGCCTGGAGCTGACTGGATGATTCACGTTTGTGAATGTTCAGACCTGTTTCTTCAAATTCCAGGTAATCAAGTACCTCACTCTCTTGTAATCAAGGATACAGGGAGCCTGGCACTGGGGGATTTCACATTCCATAGCAACTGGCCTCATCTCTGGTGCACATTTGAGACCTGGCAATAACCGAGGAATTCATAGGCATGTGTGCTTATTTCCAGCTGTAGCATTGCGTTTCAGTGAGCCTGGACAATGGCTGGTTGTTGCTATTGTGAGTGGCAAGCTCTGACTATATGAGCATAAACCAAAAAGCCCTTGGCAGCAACCAGGACATCTAAATTCTCAAGTGTCTGACTGCTGCTTAAGTGCCAACAACATGCAGATCTGGGCAGCAGCTGGGGAGACTATGTTAGATCAAATCTGAAGTTAAGCCGAGCTCTCAGCTCTGTGTAACAGAAAACACAGTGAGGTACGAGTCAGAGGTGGAGTTTAATTGGCTGCCTGACATATAAGAAACAGCCAGGGCATTGCTAGCACAAATCCTGGAGGGCATGTTTGTGCCAGTCTAGAGCAGCTCGAAACAGTCATCAGGTGAGTGCCTTTATGGCTGTCCAGTGGTGACCATGTGCTGGGTTCCCAGATTGAGAGTGTTGAGCATCAGCTCTGTCATTGAGAGAATTAGACAGTGATTTGGGACAATGTAAGGAGAGCTACAGAAGCACGTGGGGCTGGCTGTGTGCTCAGTCCCCCGCAAGGAGTTTCTGGGTGCCAGTATTCAGCGGCTTTCCACAGATGCTGGACGGCCGGGCCCCTAGAGACCCATGCAGTGTTCAGGATGCTGGGTCTGGAGGCACATTCTTTAGTGTCCTGACCTTCATACCCTGTCGTTTCCAGGACTCCAGTGACTTCCAAAGCACCTGTATGGATGTGGTTGCTGTCTTCAGTCGTGCTGGACCCATGGGGAGGCTATGGCCTGAGAGCCAGCAAGGGGACAGCACTCTGGTGCTAGTAGAGTTCAGAGACTGGCGGGCCCTGAGCCTGCAGGGGTATATCATTGTATAGAATTCCTTTGGCAAGCAGCTGAGCACCCTTAGTCTCTAAGTGTACGGCTGGCTTGCTGGTAGTCATTTTCTCTGCATCCAGATTGCTGTACTGGGTGGAGCTCCCCTCAGGTATTTACTGTTAGGGTTTGTTGCAGTGGTTAGTGAAAACCAAAGTAGAATCCACCAGTGATACCCTCAATTATGATGCTGTCTCCAGCTCCTCCTCCTCTCTCTCTCCATTCCTCTTACCTTGCCCCATCAGCTTCTCTCTCCTCCACCTCTTCCCTCTCTTGCCTCATCTCCCTTTCCTCTTTCTCTCTCCTCTCTTACTCTTCTTCCAGTCTTGGAATTAAGCACAAGAAGTGATGAAGATAGTAAGTGTAGTTCATCAGTTGCCATGCATACTTCTGTCTTGTTTGGGGGCCTCACCTGCCAATGCACAAGGGTAACTCTTGGCTCCGCATTCAGGAATCACACACTCCACAACCTTTGGAGCTGTCTCTCAGGCCTTAAAGAGTTTTAAATTTTAAATTGACTATTTAGTAATTTTAGCATTTTTTTAGTCTCGATTCTATTCTGTTGATTTTTGTTTGTTTCTTAGCAAAACTATTTTTCTTGCTTTTTTACATGCCTTAGCATTTTTAAACTAAAGTGTGTTCTGTGTAATTTAAATGGTGCTCAGATTTGAAAAAGGGCTTACCTTTCTTTTTTTTCTCTATATTTAGTTTGAAAGAATACTTCAGTGTCTGAAAGAAACACATATTTTGGAAAAGCTATTCATACAAACTGTAGAGTTAAATAGTATTCATATTTACTATTCCACTGTCTTTTGTTTACTGAATATTTTTGTGATATTTTTGGAGGGAGTCTTACTCTGTTTAATACATTACCTCACAGTTTTTGAAGCATTTTATTAGATTTTGATCAGAAGTTGCTGTTATTTTATTCTCAGATTGGGTAGAGAACAAAGACATTAATTTTTTGTTAATCTTAGTGAAAATTTTATTTTGTGTTTTGTTTTGAAATCATGTGAAATCATGTGATCTTGCCTTGGAACATGACAGGGCGTAATCATGTGCTTTTTGTGGGCTACCTTGCAACATATATGCATGTATTATAAGGACAATAAATGATGTCACGAATAGCCAAAAAGGTCTCCCACTTCTGACTGGGACTGCTACATCTTCCCATACATTGTATGATTATCAAGAATTTACAATTTAGTTCTCAGTCACTTGGGGGAGGGGAGGCACTTGGGGAGGGGCATCTGGGAATAGAGTCCAGGATCATTCATCTCTTGCATATTATGTACCATTTGAGTTATATCTATGGTTCTTTTCTCAGATTTTGATCCTTATATTTCCTCTATTTTATGTGTTCCTCTTTTAATACCATTGTGATTTTCCCCCCCTTTACTTGAAGAATCAATCTGTTGACTAATTTGGTTATTAGTGCCATTTTCTAGTGACATTTCTTTATATTGGTATCTTAGGTTATATTTCTTAAGTACATTTGTGTATATTTTGTCTTATATATCATATATAACGATACTATAATTACTTCATTCAAATGATATCCTCTTCAGTTATTTTTCTGTTGGCTGTTGAAGTGGTTTTGCTAATCTATCAGTTGAAAGTAGTAGTACAAGAAGAAAATTTCTTCACTTTCTTCAATCATCTGATAAAAGTTAATGAACCATTCAAAAATTTCACATAGCTATTTATAAAATGGCATATTATGCAACAGTAAAAGTAATGAAGTGTCATACTCTAAAATAAATAAAAGAACGTAAGTACATAGTGCTAAGTAGAAGATATTAGTCTGAAAAAGTTATTTATAAGAATATATTATGATTACTTGGTGCATTGTGGAAAAAGCAAAAGTATATAGGGCATAAACCAAATCAGTCTACTGTCGCTGGAGTTGAGGAGGAGGAAAAGGAGGAATGAAGATTAATAGCAAATGTGCCAATACTGATGAAAGATATGCATAACTGAAAAATGTTTGTGGAATGGAACCTAGTGTGTTGGCAGGTGCTACCCAGAAACTGTACTTTCTGTGCAGCTTTTCTCTAAACCTAAAACTTAATCTAAAATGTAAAATCTATCAATTGAAAGATAGTGATATTCAATAAAGAATTCATATATATGTACACATATATATTTAATATATGTGGTCCAAATTCACAAGTTCATGAAACCTTAGCACTGCACTGTAGCGTTGTCCTCCCGTTGTTCATCGATTTGCTCAAGCAGGCCCAGTAATGTCTCTATCGTGAGACTTTTTATTGTGTTTGGCATATTGAATACATCATGGGGAGCTTGCCAGGCTTTGCCCTGCGGGCAAGATACTCTTATTAGCTTGCCAGGCTCTCTGAGAAGGGTGGAGGAATTGAACACGGTTCGGCTGGGCTGGCTGCACGCAAGGCAAACGCCCTACCACTGTGCTATCGCTCCAGCCCTATATATACGTAATAATAAGTAAAAAATTTAAACAATGATGTTGTGGTGGGCTGGAGCGATAGCACAGTGGTAGGGCCTTTGCCTTACAAGCGGTCTACATGACCGACCCAAGTTCGATTCCTCTGCCCCTCTCAGAGAGCCCGGCAAGCTACTGAGAGTATCTCGCCCGCATGGCAGAGCCTGGCAAGCTACACGTGATGTATTCGACATGCCAAACACAGTAACAACAAGTCTCATGATGGAGATGTTACTGGGTCCACTCGAGCAAATCGATGAACAATGGGAGGATCGTGACCGTGACCGTGATGTTGTGGTGCAAGTGACCTTAATGAAATTTAAAAAAGAAAACACTTTAAGAGAATGTTTCCTTTTTAATATTAGTAGTTTAATCCTTCATATGCCTCTTCTTTAGTTTAAGAATACCTATAGTGATTTCTGTTTCTGTACTTGTTATTTTTTTCTTTGTTCTTAGGTGTTTTAGCTCTCTCTTGGTACCCACCTGACACAAGTGATGAGAATGGATTACCTACTGATAACTTGGTACCAACTATTTTGGATAAAGCTCATAAATATAACCTGAAGGTATTTTGTTGTCTTTAACTGAATTATATGTGTTTAATGCATAGCCTTACATTACTTTTAGATGTGCAACATAATGTTTTCATAAGTACATATTGTGAAATGATTATCATAGTCTTATTAACATACATCACCACATATAGTTACAGATTTTTTTTCTTGTGATGAGAACATTTAATATACTCATAGTAATTTTCAAATATACAAATAGCATTGTAAACTAGTGTGACCGTGCTGCGAGTTACATCCCCAGAATTTATTTAACAACTGAAAATTTGAACCTTTTTTCCTTTGGTTTGGGGTCATATCAGGTGATGATTAAGAGAGCTCAGTGGTTGGGTCATTGTGATACCCAGGATAGAATACAGGACCTCTGCATTGAAAACATATGTATGCTGTAGACTTTTGAGCTGTTTTTCAGGGCCCTTCTACCTTTATTTGATGTTTCTTGTTTGTGGGGACCTAAACATAGTGGGGCTGGGGTGTGGGGCAGGGATACTTCTCGCAGTGCTTAGGGACCACCAGGTTTATACTCAAAATGGTCATGCTCAAATGGTCATGCTGTGCCACATAAGATGTACAGGGCCTCACACCTACATACTACGTATTAATCCACTTTGAGCCACACATCTGGTCCTGGAAATGTATTTTAACCATCTTCACCCATTTCACCCAGATTCCACCTTTTTTCTTCTTCTATCTGTATGCTAAGTAAACTTATCTAAGTGTCTACTAGGAAGAATCTAAGAATAGTTTCAAGAGTATGAAATCCAAATCCAAAAAACCTTTCAGTTTTACCTCTTAGTTATATAAATTTTGTGACTTTGAATCCTAATATCTCAATAGGAAATACATACTAAAATACTGGGTGATTGCATGCTTATTAGTGACTAGCAAAGAATGAGCATTATATAAGTAAAATAAACAGAATGTACTTGCTTAGATAATTTACTGAATGCTAGAGAGATAACTCAGTTACTGAGCACATACTTTGTATGCAGAAAACTCAAGCTTAGTATCTAATACAACAAAGTTTCCCAATTAACATTGACAGTTGACCCCTTAGCAGAGTCAGGAGTAGCCTCCAACCACTACAGGTGTGTCCACAAAACAGAAATAGTAATAATTCAGTATATATTGAATTTTGAGTAGTAATTGAATATACAAACATTTCTGAATTTCGGTATATCAAATTTTGAGAAAATAAGTTCATTACTAACAAAAATATTAATTATGAAAATTCTTTAGTAACCAATATCACCAAACTTCATATTAATGAAGAATGATTATCATACTCATTAAGCTGAGTACAATAAAAAATGCTTTCTATCGTCAGTATTATTAGTATCATTTATTTAGTGTCATTTCTAAACAAAGTTTAAAATTCTAAAAAATAAGTCTAGTTAGTTGTCTGAATATAATTTTAAAGGTACTTTTAAAAAACATGAGAAGTAGCTAAGATTTATTAGATATGAGTTCATTAAAATGACTAAGACTAAATATATGCAAGCATGTAGGATTCCTAGATTACAGAAAAAATATGGGAAAATATAAATTGAAAATAATCTAGCAACAGGTATCCAAAAAGTCTGTGTTTTTCAAGAAGAATGTAAAGACTTGCATAAATAGAAAGCAATGTGATGGGAAGATTCAAAGTTGCAAATATGGTGATACTAAAGTCTCTAACTAATGTAATGGGTAGATTTTATTTAATTCTAGTTATTCTGTGTTAGAAAAAAAAGTGAATAAATATACATTTTATCTAGAGACATAATAAAGCACTTTGGGTGTTTGTCTTGCACTCAGCCAACTCCAGTTCCATCTCTGGCTGCATATGATCCCCTCAAATACTTCTAGGAGAGACGCCTGAGAACAGGGCAGGAAGGAGTAAGACTTGTTCAACTAGATGTGGTCCACTCATTTCCCCTCCCCCCAAATGATACTTATTAATTAGTAGAAAACTTACCTTTCTAGATGACAACTGGACTATAAGGTATAGAAGTTAAGAGTATGATGTTAGGATAGGAAAGAAAAAGAGACAAATGAAACGAGTATCAGAAACTAGATTGTTCAATTTGGAACCCAATATGTAATTCAGTAGCTTTGTAGCACCGTCCTCCCATTGTTCATTGATTTGTTTGAGCAGGCTCAGTAACGTCTCCATTGTGAGACTTGTCGTTTCTGTGTTTGGCATATCGAATATGTCATGGGTAGCTTGCCAGACTCTGCCGATATAAGGTAAAGGTAAAGGTAAAGGCCCTCCCGTTGATCGTCGATTTGCTCGAGCGGGCCCAGTAACGTCTCCATTGGAGACTTTGTTGTTACTGTGTCTGGCATATCGAATACTCTCGGTAGCTTGCCGGGCTCTCCGAGAGGGGCGGAGGAATCGAACTCGGGTCGGCCATGTTGGCCGCGTGTAAGGCGAACGCCCTACCCGCTGTGCTATCGCTAACAACAAAGTCTCCAATGGAGACGTTTCTGGGCCCGCTCGAGCAAATCGACGATCAACGGGAGGGCCTTTACTGCCGATATAATTCAGTAATAATTTAAAATCAAGTATAAAAGACGTACTTATTAATCATCATAACTTTGTGACACTAGTTTATATTCTTTATATTCTGCTACTTTTTAAAAAACTGTATTTTATTTTTGGATGAAGCAGCACATCCAGAGGTGTTCAGGTTTCAGTCCTGACTCTGTACTCAGGGATTATTCCTAATAGTGCCAAAAATCAAACTCTAGTTGATGCAAATTAGGCACCTTATGTGGTGTATTGATACCCTCATAGTTCTTTTTTGTCACAGAAAATAATAGGATTCCATTTCTAGTGGCATTTATTTTCTGAGAAACTTTTATATTGTTTCCCATAGTGCAGAACCATATAACATTCCCACAATATGTAAGATTCTTTTGCCTCTATCTTCATGAACACTTGTAATTTAATGACAGTTGCCATTTGGGCAGACACATAGTGGCAGTTTTGTAGTTTTAATTTTTCATTTTCTTGATGATTATTGATGTTGAACATTCTTCTATATCTTTGTACCTTCAGAACCATGAAAATCAAATGCAATATAGCAGAACTTTGGGATATAGCAAATGTCTATAAAAAGGAAGTTCAGAGGTAAATGCTTACCACAAGAGGAAAAATAAATTCTCGAACACTGCCTGTCCTTTCAAATAAAGGAAGAAGAAAAAAATACATATTCCACAGTTAAAAAAATAAAACAAAACAATAAAATAGGAAATAATATCAGACTTAAACTAAAATGGAGAATCAACAATAGGAAATAATACCAGACTTAAACTAAAAGGAAAATCAAATTGACAATGCTTGAGGTATACTCATTGTTAAAAATTAAATAGGCCTCAAATAAATCAGAAATGAAAATGAAGTAATAGCTTATTCGCCATAAATAATTATAAACCAATATTGACAACATAGAAGAAATGGGTAAATTCTTGAAAACATACTCTACTAAGACTGATTTATGAAGGAGTACAGAAACAGAACAGAAAAGAACAACTATTAGTAAGGTGATTGAATCACTAATCAAAAATCTCTTAGAGGAGTCTGGGATTAGGTAGCTACATTGATTAACTAATACCAGGTATTCAAAGAAGAATTAATGCAAATCACTCTTTTTTTAAAAAATCATTTTTAAAATTACAGTACCTGTGTTGCAAACCATTATGCTTCCATCCCCCACTGCTGCTGCCCAACTGGAAAAGTCGCACCCTTCCTAAATCATTCTTTTAACTCCTTTCCCAAAACAAAAGAAATGAGAACATTTTCAAAATCATTTTCCTAGGCTACTGTTATACTGTACCACAACCTGACAACTTTTGATGAAGAAAGAAAAGTACAAGTCAATACCTTTCATGAAGATGGAACAGAAAAATCTTTTGACAAAATATTAGCAAACCAGATTCGATAATACATAAAAAGTGATTACGCATCACAATATAGTGGCCTTACTACAGGGATGCAAGGGGATTCAGCACCTACAAATCATTTAATGTGATCTATACCAAATAAACAACAGCAACGATAAAGTGTATATCTCTGCTTAGATTTATAAAATCATTTAGTAGGTATTAACATTAATTTATAATTAAAACAGTAGTTCGTATGAAGGAGAAATACCACAAAATAATAAAACTCATGTATGATAAGCTCACAGATCATTATTCATGAATATCAGAATCATTGTGAACGGTGAAAAGCTGAAAATTGTTACTTTGATATCAGGAAGAAGGGAAGGGTAACCCAATGTCACCACTTCTTTCAGATTAAAAAAAACACACAGTCCTCCCGTTGTTCATTGATTTGCTCGAGCGGGTCCAGTAATATCTCCATTTTTGAGACTTGTTGTTACTGCGTTTGGCATATTGAATATGTCACGGGTAGCTTGCCAGGCTTTGCTGTGCGGGCGAGATACTCTCAGTAGCTTGCCGAGCTCTCCGAGAGGGGCAGAAGAATCAAACCTGGCTCGGCAAGGCTGGCAGCATACAAGGCAAACACCCTACCGCTGTGCTATCGCTCCAGCCCTGTGCTATCGCTCCAGCCCTCTTTTGGATTAGTACCAAAATTTTATCTCAAGCAACTAGGCAAGAAATGAAAAGTATAAAAATTGAGGGATAAGTACAGCTATCACTATTTATATATATTATATATATAGAACCCCCAAATTCTGCCAAATAAATGATTAGAATAAACAGATGTAGCAAATCTTTAGCATATAAGATCACTACACAAAACCACATTTCTTTGATTCTTAAAGCCCATTGAATGTTTAAAAGCTACCAGTTTAGGGCTGGAGCAATTGCAGAATGGATAGGGCTGTAGCATTGCACGCAGCCAACTTGGGTTCAATTCCCAGCATTCTGTATGGTTCCCTGAGCACCACCAGGGGTAATTTTCTGAGTGCAGAGCCAGGAGTAACATCTGTGAATCACCAGGTGTTACCCAACCCCCCCCCCAAAAAAAAAAGCTACTAGTT